ATGACGTAGCTTAGACCTTGGAAATGGTATAACTGCTGTGATCTTTGTAACTGTAAGCGGGGCGGCCTACGAACTCCTGTGGGAGTCTTGAAGCTGACTTCTGCTGATGAAAATGCAAACTATCTTCAGTAAAACTTTTCTTTAATTTTTTATAAGTCTGACTCCGGGTCTTCATTCTTCATTTCTGGTTCTGGGTCTTTAACTGTATACCCCTTACAATTGGTCATCTTTCGTCCGGGACAGCCCAAAATCATACAATGTGTCATTACCTGACACACCCACTTCAGGTCTTCCAGTCTCGACTAATTAGCAGACGAGTTGAATCAGGTGTATTAGAAGAGGGAGTGCTCCATGACAGGTTTGAAAACCACTGGTTTAAGCTAAGCCATTGCACTAGCAGTTTAACTAAAGCTTATAATCAAATAATGGAAGCAGGATGAGAAAAAACACAAAGCTGCTCAACACAAGCAAAAGGGTAAGAAACAAGGAAAAGGAGACCTTTGTAAAGGCGCTCATTTTTCCAGGCATTGGGCTCTGCGTTTAAAGAGAGATGACAGAGTGTTAGCCTGCAGCAGTGCAGTCTTTATAGGACTCTAGTGTAGCCTAATCCACACAAATGCAGAGGTGCCCATGCTAAAAGCTTCATCTGAAATAAATAGCAGGTTCTGGATTCTATGTGTATTGATAGTTCACACAGTTTATTTAAAGAAACAGCACACATGGATAAACTGGCTTGGGTCACTATGGTTTCCATTCTCTTTTAACTTAATTTGGCAGATGACGACCTAACAAGTACCTGACACAACTCCACCGCCATTGATTGAGCAACCGAATCAGAAACAAAGTAGCACCTAAATCCCACAAACAAACACTGGAGGTCATTAATTAATGCTTTAGGGGGGGAGAGAAGTACATACCATTCTCTTCGCTGGACTTTCTTCTGTCCTCCGGGTCTACGTTCACCAGCTGGAGGATGAGAGGCCTGCGGGTGACGATGCCCGTCCCGCGGGGCAGAAGGTCTCTGCCAACCAAACTCTCCAGCACAGAGCTTTTCCCACTGCTCTGGAAATCAGATGCACCACACAAAATACAAATAAATCCGGACTGTCAATTACTGAACATTTACTTCTTAAAAACATGTTTAGAACCGTAACTAAAAGTTCACTTGCGGATCAAACTTGTACCTAAACAGCTTAACCTTATAGAGCTTATGTAGCTCCGCCCCTTTTCAGAACAGCACTCCTTGTCTTCCGATTTGTATTTCCACAGCATGAAGGTAAGATTTTAAGGATTTATGAATGAACTGCTCATTTTTAAATCTTCCCGGTCTACTGACATTTGACATTGGCTTTACAATGCTCATGATAACTCTCATTAACTCTACAATAAGTAGGCTAAATCCACTTCACCACCTAAATTACCGTAATTTCGATAGCGACGCCACAGAAATATACAGAGCTACCGCAAAAACGGAAGTTCAAAGTCAAAATTGTAAAGATGGCTGCTCTGGCGCATAATGTCTATAAAGGCTACTGTATCATACATGAATTTCTAAGGCCTCTAAATTATCAACATGATCAAAAAACTTTGCTGAAAAACCCATTGCACACAATCTACTACATATCTTCTGTCGTCTGATTAATAGTTTATACTTTTCAGCAAGTAAAAGGCTTTTTAGTATCATTCTAAAAAAGTCCACCTTCAACTCTTTCCTGATTTTTATTAAAGTAAACATAAGAATAACTTTTATATTGCTAGAAATATTTCAAAATGTTCAACGCTGTATTGAATTGCATTATGTTTTGCCCCATAATAAAAACTACAGAGCTTTGATAATAAAACTAAGCATTTAAATATCTTAATACTAATATATTATTGGGAAATATAGAGTGACAAATGATATTTAGTATCTTATCTTTAGTATAAGTATCTTATAAAGCTATCAGAATTTCATCCTACTTTTTTTGCCATCTACACCAAACTGCATATTTGTGCTCAGTTTGGCCCTCTGAATAAAAGTGTGAACTCTATATTCCGAACATATTATACTATATGAGCCATACAAGTCTGATGCATGACATAAAACACATACTTTGTCTAAATGTTCAATAAAATGTTCCATTTAAAAAAATCATTGGGATCCAAAATTTTCTTTCCTTAGATGGCCCGCCAAACCAGTTGAAGAATGAGTTGTAAAGGTGTAATCGAGTTGAAAAAGTTGAGTTTGGATAAACTTGTCCACACAAATACACTATTGTTAAAATCAGAGGGAAATGATAGGTTGGTAGCCTGTGTGGTAACCTTTCCAGACTTTTATTTCATATGTTAGGCTTTACAGGGATAACAACACTTTCTTGGGCACCCAGACAGCCATATCCTCTTAAGCGGTCAGTGAAAGTCTCTGCTTTAAGACTCTTTAAACTTATTATACCTGAAGTGTGTGAGGCAGATGGTAGGAAACTCTTCTACTTGATAAGTCAGTCTCTGGTTTACTTACATTAAAGCTCTATATTACTATAACACTATTTATCAAGTATGCAGTATTTTCCACAATGAAATGATGCAGATATCTAGTGTAACGTCAAAGGATACGATCCATAATCATTTTCACCTTAGTACCAATCTGCCCATTTTGTCCTTGATACACAGTGAGTCTTGTCTTGCAGCTGCTCAGTCCAAACATGCAGCCTGAACTGTCAAGTTCAGACCGATCATGGCGCATCACATCATGTGTTAGCTGGTGTACTGAGACCAGCACAGCTCTATAATTTACTTTATGATATTGCTCATGCTGTTAAAACGAACACATTCCTAACAGTAGAAATGTCCACATAATATACTTGAGGTCAACTATTCAAATATGAATAGGAAACAAGCGAGTGCATACGTTAGCACGCTAGTTAGCTGGATAGCGCAGATAACATTATTTGAAAGCTAGTTAAAGATTTAAATTTTATCGTCTTAATTGTCAGGATATTGAAAACGACATTCATTTATTTGTCGTTGATCTTTCCATATATAAACAATGTCGCAGGAAAAAAAAACGTAACGTTAGCTAATAATAGGTTGTGTTCCAAAATAAGTGGACCACATAGACAGGGGGTTCATAGGCGCCCTCGAACTTTCGATTCCATTCCGAAATGCAGTCTAGGTGGGTAACTCACTAGGGTTTGAAACACCGCCATAAACCTGTATCAGTCTGAATGGAAACAGCAACTACAAAATTACCTGCGTTCCCACCACTGCAATCTGAGGCAGCTGGATAATATCCGCCCCGACTGTGTTAAAAACATCCTGGAGTTTGTTAATGACAGGAATAAGAGCCTCCATCGCGTTGACGATCTCTTCCACTGTCAAAACGAGTTGCTAAAGAGCCTACCGCGGCTAAACACGGCACAAAGTCATCCAATGTCCCTCACTGTGACACCATGAACAAACCCGGCCGCGGAAAAACTGCGCACTGATGGTGCATTGTGGGACTTGTAGTTTTAGGCGGCACAACAGCTGTTGACCCACTTTTGAATTTTCTGGAAATAAACTACATTACCAAGCATTGTTCTGAGTCGATGCGCCAAGGCAACCGTAACTATGGGGTGCAACAAAATATTTTGGAGCATAGAGGAAAACATGTTTTGGGTAAGGTAGCACAAGTACCAATATTACATTAATTATAACACATGTAGCCACGTGGTGTTATTAATATGGTTATCTGACAGCAATAATACATCTATTTTTTAATAGGCTATATACACACCAAGAGAAATGTTCATTAATACACACATTTTTACAAACGTGAACTGGATAAATTATTAACAGTTAAATACAAAATGTACAAATGGCAGAGTATAAAAAAATAAATAGTAAGAAAAGAATGCCACTTAAATGATCAATCTATTATATGATCTAAGCGCCTTTTGCTTGTTTCCATATACAAAACACTTTAAGTCATTTATAAAGAATATAAAAATAAAAAAATGGGTTCGGAGCAAACCATATCAATGTATGTTTATTAAACTTCTCCAATAATATTAATAATTGTATAACATGCCTTTTTCTTGTTCTATCCCATGGCCGTTGAAATATATGACAAATTATATGTATGACAGAAACTACATATGTATATTACAATCAATTTTATATCATTCAAGTTTACTGAGGGTACTAAAAATGCTCCTGTATCGCAACTGCACAGCAATTAATGTTTTGTAAAAATCCTGAAGAAAAGGGTCCTCAAACAAATAATTTTGAACACGATTTATTTTTAACCCAAGTAGACATACATCTGGGTTCAAATAGGCTATTTAAGATTTACATTTCATCCATAGGATTAAAATAAAGAAAGTGCAAGATGAGTCTACCAAGACTCTGAACATAACAACTATGTCAGCGGGTAACAGTTAAACCAACAGGACAGCTGCCTTTAAATATTGCACATGGGATCAAGATCAACACAACAGGTCACAGGTGAGGTGATGTCATACAGGAACACAGCTGGGTTATACATCGTATTTACATCGTTGGTATATTCCCCTTGTTTCTTTTTAGGGGTTACACTGCCATATAAAAATAAACAATCAAATGTTTATGTTTTGTTACAGACATAAAAAGTTCAGCCAAAATACACTTTGGCTTAGAGAACAATGTCAGATTTGTACTTTGCAAAAGCAAAAGCTGTTTACAAACCCAACCGGTTAACTGATGTACATGACAAAAACAGACACTTGCTTTCTCTCAGCCATGCAAACTATAATACACATGAGGTCATAAAAGTGCTCCAATCTGATCACAACAAACTGAATATAACACAATGAGTGGGAAAGGCACATCTCTAACTAATAAGAGTGAGTTTGAAAGAACCTACTTAGGAAACTATATCATTCACAGCAATGCAGAAAACATCTGTTTAGCTTCACATAAAAATAAAAGAGCAGTTTATGAAGATGTAAACCCCAGATATTTATTATGAGTGTTCAGCACCAAAACAACAAAAATATACAACCTTGGATAAGTGGAGAAGTTAATGGAAGAGCTAAATGGTCTGTCATGATGATTCAGGATTTCTGCACATTCAGTCTTTCAATATAACAGGGGAGTTTAGTTGTTAGCCAGGCATGAAACTGAATTTTAGTGCATATAACAACTTGCTTCATATGGTCAAGAAAGTGCGATTTCAACATAAATTCACACTAATTAGAGCGTCATCAAATAGTTTCTCATCAATAAACTAATGACCTTTTCTTAATGTTTTGGTGCTGCAGGGATGAAAACAAACTCATAAAAAGTCTAAACCTAGACTTTGAGGCTATTAAGAGGCCACCATCCAATGTAGTGTCAATTGTAGATATCAATCAAACCAACTGAAACTCCAAATGCATCTTCAATAACAGATCAGTCACTGGTAAAATCAACCCCCAATCATCATTACAGCAGCAAATTAATAACTCAATCTAAATCAGACATAAAAACACAAGTGTGGTGGTCCGAGCTGATGTTCAGGATGAGGTGCAGTCCGTGTACGTGGTGACCATGTTTCCTCTTCGCTGGGTCACCGTTCTGCAGTGTTGTTTGGTTGTGCCCTGAAACCTGCTCTCTGTTCTTTTTATGTGTCTGTCAAATGTAAACATCTTCTCCATATCTTCAAACATGTCCTCGAAGGTTCCGGTACCAAAAGCGCCCTGGAAGTGTCTCTTGTGGCGGTTGTGTGCTTGCTGGTGGGCCTTTAAGTGCTCGTCAAAGTGCCGTTTTTGGCGAGCGTGCCTGTTTTGGCTATAGATGTCGGAGTCTCTGAACATGTCGTCGAAGTTGAAATCAAAGGAATGATGAAAACGCTGCCCTCCTTTCATGTCTTCATTGCTGAATGCGTTGTCTCCTAACTGGTCATACTCTCGCCGCCTTTTCTCATCCGATAGGGTTTCATATGCTGCAGAACGAGTTTTCAAAAATTATGCATGACCGAGTAAGCAATGTGAAGAATAAACATGCTATTTAATTGTAGATCACTATATTAAGTAGTTATTTAATCAAGCAGAATACATTACACCTACCAGTCAACAGTTTGGAAAAATTAAAAGTTTATGTTTTTGAAGGAAGTCTCTTATGCTCAACCAAGGCTGAATTTATTTGATCAAAAATACTGTGATGTTGTGAAATATTATTACAATTTACAAGAACTGTTAATATATTTAAAAATGTCATTTATTCCTACAATGGCAAAGCTTTATAATGTTACAAAATATTTATATTTTAAATAAATGCTGTTCTTTTGAACATTCTATTCATCAAAGAATCCTGGAAAAAACACGTTTTACATAAAAACAGATAAGTGATAATAATAAGAACCATTATTAACACTTGAGCTCCAATAACAATTGATAATCACTTTTTAATAAACATAACAGCTTCAAAATTTGTATTTTTGATATGGGTGTGAGTAATTTATGTAAAAAAACATCCAAGTATCGTCAAGTTATGTTTACCACAGTTATTATTTTACTCATAAACTGAAAAAATCCCATTTGAAAAACCCATTTGAAAATCTCGAGGGAACCACTGGAGAATTAGTATATAAATTACATTTTAAAATATATTAAAATAGAAAACGGTTCTTTTAAATTTTGTATTTTTTATCAAATAAATGCAGCCTTGGTGAGCATAAGCGACATAAAAAAATCGTAATTATTTAAAACTTTTGACAGGTAGTGTAACCTACCTTCAGCAATCTCTCGAAATTTGGTTTCCGCATCGGGGCTCTTGTTCTTGTCAGGGTGATATTTCATGGCAAGCTTGTGAAAAGCTTTTTTGATCTGACGGTCGGAAGCGTCTTTTGGCACACCGAGGATGTCATAGTAGTCCTTTCTGGCCAGTATGAGTTCTGTTATCACCAGGATGCACACTGCGAACATCAGTGTTGACTGTGCCGTGGCCATGCTTCTGGCTGATGGACAAGATGATAGAAGAGAGAGCAGAATTGTGTCAGTTGGACCTGTCTAAACAATGAACATACCTCTTAATAACAATGTTATATCACATTAAAATGAATCTATAAATATATTACAGGAAATAAAATAAACAAAAGCAATGTTACTTCTTTGTACAGTGGAATTCATCCATAGAATTTTCAACATGTGCTGCACATCATAATATTCCTGATGTGTTTATATACTCTTACATACATTTTAGCTTTACCCATGCGCCACGCCCCCTTGATTTACAGTAGTTTTGCTGTTTTTAACATTTCTTTAAAGTGAAAAAATGTCATTTCAAATATATTTAATAACCATTTATTAAACATAATACAATATTTTTTATTATATTATTTTTAAGAATATTGCGTTTGCCAGCGTATGTACAGTGTGCGGTACATTTCTACGATATTTTGAATTTTACTATATTTTCTTTATATTGTTTAATTGATTAAGAATGATAAAACGCCCGCAATAAGTTACGCCTTTCGAAACCAACTTTCAAAAGACTGACGAACTCATTTAGCCAGCTTGCTAACATGAACATTATGTCTCATCTAATCCTATCGCATTATCAACAACAACTACGAAAACATGCCATATAAATGAAAATAATTAATAATAAGACGTGAATTCGGGCATATTTTGAAACACGTACTTACTGTTCCTGACAGCACCGATGAAAATGATCAAAACTGATACTGGTGTTTTCAATATTTGGGCCGTACAACACGACTCTCAATCCTATTGGTGCAGCTCTGTACCACGTGATCCTTGCATAAGCAAAGACACCAAAAACGATCACTGTTGCGTTGTATTTACGCAGAGCCAAGAGGCTCATATCATATTACATAAAATCAAAGTTTTCTAAACTAAACTCGTATTCCTGATGTTATGTACACAAGGGCAAAAGAAAAACTCTTCTCGTTTTTAATATAACAAAAAAAATGTTAAGAAGTGATTCTGTTTCAGTAAAAAAGTAGGGTAGGCCAAGAATGTGCATAACAATTTAAATGTATCAGTATAATTAGAATTTTGTCTCTGAGATGAAAAGATTAGGTAATTTCAAAACTACAGTAGAGCTTATTGTGATATGACAGGCTTGTTTTTTTATTAAAGATTTACAAATATAAAAAGGGGGTACATTATGATAAACAAAACAAAGTAAATAAATTAAGTAAATATTTGTTTAAATATTAACACATTGTATTTTATTTTAATTTATTATTTTTCAAACTTGATATATTTAGCTATTGTTGAACTTTTTGACTAGAACAAAGTCTAGTCTTATTTTTAAGTAGCATATTATTTAAATACTATTCCTAAAGATAAGACATGCCATGAGTGAAAAAACATTGAGATTTTTTTTTTTTTCAAAACAAAGTTGAAAGCTGGGTATTATGTAATGCCTAATCAATGAATATAAATCTGACCAAAAACAAGCCGACTGATAACAATTTCATAATAAATGAAAGCATGTTTCACCATCTATCAGTATCATACAAGGTTTTTATTTTTGTTTTCTTTTTTTATTTTCTTTTTACATTTATTTATTTGTAAATTACATTTACAATACATAAAAAAATAAACATACATTTATATATTTTTATTTTTTACATTGAATATTTATGAGGCAGTTTCCAAATTTGTTTCCAGAAATGACAGGCTTATGACAACAGCTGCAAACCTTGTCCATGATGTCATTACGTTTCCCACAATGCCTCAGCAGCAAAACAACGCACGCGCCGTGCGCATTTCTCAAGCGTCTCTCAAAGATGGCGGGTGTCCCCGATCCACTGGAAGATATGCTGTACTCCGAAGTGGACGAAAAAGCCGTCAGTGACCTCGTAGGCTCGTTAGAATCGCAGTTGGGTGGACAAAACAAGGCGGTGGGTCCTCAAGGCGACATCAGGAGACCCGCAAACGCGCTAAATCCACACTTGGGGAAATTACTGCCCGCCCAAGTAGGAACAACACTGGAGCAGCAGCGGCAGCCACAGCGAAACCAGGAGGGAAACTCTCAAGAAAACGGTCCGGACAGGATACCGGCGTCCAGCTCTGTCCCCTCCACCTCGAACCTGCCCAGTACCTCTGCGAATTTAGTTACAGCAACGAACCGGGTGCAATATCATTCATCAAATCCATCAACTTGTTCAAGTGACGCAGCACCAACAGACTCTCATTCCAATACAAATCACATTGCGTCTGCTGTCCGGACGGTTCCCGCCAGAATACAGACTGTGAACGGAAGCAGTGGCACGTTAAACTCTTCTGTTATCGCTTCCGCGCCTGCTTCTGTAAACGGTATTGACATTGGTGCAGGTGTAGGTACTGGTAAAAGCAACATGTCTGCTCCTACTAGTACAAATACTGCTTTTGTGTCCGCTCAGCCCAACAGCACACTGCCACATGCGAATGTGTCACTAGATAGTCAAGCAAACCCCACCATAGCACTGCACAGGCCTCCTAACACCATCACAAGTGTCGTACACAACGGAGGTGACCCTAAAGTCTCAGGATTGCCCATGCAGGGCACTGGTCTTGTCTCCACCTCTGTGGCGTTCACAAACACAGAGCCCAAATCTGACCCTCAAAACCAGATTAAAGCCATCGTCCCGAACCAGCTCCCCGGGGCTCCTGTAGGGTTGCACCCCAGCACGCCCACTCAAATTATTGTGTCCTCAAGTCCAGTGGTGACCTCACTTCCTGTGGTAAGCACCCCTTCTGTCCTTGCAAAGCCGGCTACAACCACTCTCGTAGGACAGCACACGACCCTGTTGAGACCTGGTACGCCCGCTCAAGTGACAGCGACCGCGACGGGCCAGCAGCGACCAGGGGCACCTACGACCCAGCTGATTGTCAGACCCCAGCAACAAACTACTATTCAGTTACCACCAGGATTCACCATACCACCAGGTAATAGCTCGGGAATGGTCCAGCTATGAAAAAAATGGTTTAAAGGAATGATTCACCCAAAAATGGACATTGAATCACTCTAATGCCGTTTGACAAACTTGCATGACATTCTTACTTCTGCGGGACATAAAGATATTTGTAGGACTTTGTTGTGCACATAGTGAAAGTAAATGGGGTCCAAAACAAAACACTATTGGACCCCATTGAATTTCATTACACTGGCAAATAAAAATCTAAAGATTGTGCATTTTCGCTGGCGAAATCCAGTCATTTCAATAGGAATACACCTTATTGGGAATTTCACTTGAGGGCGAAAAATCTCACAACGGGTTCAAGGTGGTCATGACTCATGTGGATTTGCAGTGTTGATCAGTGATTTTTTGTGCTTCAAACATCGCTACATTATTGACATTTTTTGCAGTTTCTGAAACGTGACCTCACCTTAAGACATGTTTCAAAATATCTTTTATGTTCCACAGACCAAAGTAAGTCATGCAGGTATAGAACAACATAGGAGTAAATTAACTATCCCTTTAAATTTTGTTAATACTTGTTGTGGCTATTGTTATTGCTTCTATATGATTTGTTTACACAGTTTTCTCTGTGTTGTTCTGAAGGTATGGTGCTGGTACGTACGGAGGCCGGTCAGCTGGCGTTGGTTCCTCAGCAGGTCCTGGCCCAGGCCAAAGCTCAGAACCAAAATAAAGCCACCATGTCACCGAGACCTGCTACACCCACTGCTGGAGCGGCTTTCAGAGTCACCACACCTGTTGCCCAGGTATGAGCAAGACATCTCTTGTTGGATATCACATGAATAATATTTGCAGTTGATTTCTGTATTAATTTAAGGATCACATTAGCAAAGTTTCATGGGCAAAAAAGGCCAATTGCCAATAATGTAGCGATGAAGCAGAGCTCACACAGAAGTCACTGTAAAAACCAAGAAGCTTTCAGTAACACTATTTTACAGTGTCCTTGGTACGTTACAGGTACTTATTGTAGTAATAATAGTAAACTATGCATAATTACATGCAACTAACCCTAAAACAAACCCTATAGTAAGTGAATTCTCTTAAGTAAGATAACTCAGTACTTGAATGTAAAATTATACTGGAACAAAGACACCTTAAAGGGGTAGTTCACCTAAAAATTCTGTCAGTAATTACTTACCCTCGTCGTTCCAAACCCGTAAGACTTTCGTTCATCTTCGGAACTCAAATGAAGATCTTTTTGATGAAATCTGAGAGCTTTCTGTCCCTCCATTGACCGCTGCACAACTACCACTTTGACACTTCAAAAAGTTTATCAAGTCTCGTAAAAATAATCCATATGAATCGTGCGGTATAGTCCAAAATTTTCTGAAGAGACACGATCACTTTATATGATGAACAGATTGAATTTAGGCTTTTATTCACATGCAAACATTCATCAACTCACACATCAGTTGTGATAAATGGAAGCTCAAGCATGTTCGCTTGACGTCCGAGAACCAATGAGGTTCATTCTCATGTTACACAGCACGTTTGAGCTTCAGCATGAGGTTTGTTCTCGTGGGTCAAGCAGTTTCATTTGAGCTTCTGTTTATGCTTGCTGATCAATATTCATTTTCTAAAGATAATTTGGACTAAACCGCTCGATTCATATGGATGTTTTACAATCTCTTTATGAACTTTTTGAAGCGTTAAAGTGGTAGTTGCGTAGCTGTCAATGGAGGGACAGAGAGCTCTCAGATTTCATCAAAAAGATCTTCATTTTTGTTCCAAAGATGAACGGAAGTCTTACGGGTTTGGAACGGCATGAGGGTGAGTAAAAAGGGTCCCTTTAAAATAAAATGTAACCAAGCTTTATGTTGGTCAACACAGAAAATCTGCGTGACCAATTTGAAACTGTTGTGAAATCTGAGTGGGGAAATCTTTTGACCTTGTGCAAAATTGTCACATGGATTTTTACGTGGATCTTACTATTGAAATGACTGGATTTCGCCTATGAGAATTTGCAGAACAACGGTAAATGTGACCGAAGTTGCTAAAATTGCACATAAATGAATCTATAGAGCTAATTGACTTCATACATATAGTTCAGTGGGATAGTTCACCCTCATGTTGTTCCCATGCATAAAAGATTTACATTTCAGACAGAATGAAGTCTCCATCACCATTCATTTCCATTGCATCTTTCTTCCAATTACAATAAAAGTGAATTGAAAATGAGGCCTTCTTTCTGCATACTGTAACATCTACTTTTGTGATTTTGCTATTCCAAACTGGCATACTTTTTCTTTTGGCACACAAACCGTTGTTGTAGGGAAAATATCTATCTGAAACGTCTTACAAAAGGACAAAAAAAGCACCATATATGTTGTCCATGTGACTTGTTCTGAAGCCGTATTGAAGCTTTGTATGAAGAAAAAAAAAATCACAGATAATTTGTTATATTGGCTGGAGCTCACAAATCAAATATGACACCAATTAAATGTCATTAACAATAAACACTGTTATTTATCCAGTGGTTCAAAACCAAACATCATGTGTGCCATACTTGGATTTGATCTTTTTATAATACAAAGCTATAGAGTGGCTTTAGATTTGATATCTATCTAGCACTTGAGGAGTATAGAGTGCTTTTTGTTTAGGTTTTTGGTGTTTTTGTCCTTTTTGAAGCTTGACAGTCAGTGGTAAGAAAGAACTCATTGAATGGCAAATATGTATGAGGAAAAATTATATTTGTGTCTGTTTTGTTGAAAAAATGATGACATGCACGTTTGGAACATTGTAAAGTTGAGAAAATACGTTGTTTCTGGGTGAATTATTCCTTGAAAA